CCAGGTATCGAGGTCATGACGCAATTTGCTATTTCCGAGCCGGTTTTTACGATTTGGAACCTGAAATTTTGATATGTGATTAGGAGTGGTCTTACAAATGCCCCCGTGAGATGCCGTTTTTTTTTTTTAAGCCACAAAAACCCCTATGCTAGGATTCTCAGTTATTGAATATAGGGATACCTCGCCAAAAAACAGAAAAAAAACGGCATCTGACTCGGGGGCGTTCGTAAGACTGTTTCCAATCACATATCACAATTTCAGGTTCCATTTCGTAAAAACCGGCTCGGAAATCGCTTCTAACCATTTCGTTGACTTCTTGGTTGGCCCAGCTTGTATCTTGTCCTCTAGTCTAGACCGTTCCAACAGTTTATTGCGGACGGTTCCAAGTCTTGTGGTGCATGTATGTCTAGTGTCTACAAGCGGGTTGGTCAAGAGGTTGAGACATTAAGCAACACCCTGATATCCCTGTCTCCGACTGAACATTTGAGTATCTCTACGCTCAAACCCAGAACTCCAAATAGCTATCAGAATACGTGCAGATGTATGTGTCATTACCTGCCAAGGACGTACGAAGTATTAGTTCTAACCATGCATTTATTTGAGACGGCATGGCTGCTGGTTCGCTCGTCGGATGGGGTTGGTTCTTTATTTGCCGCTAAAGTTGCTGGTGCGCTCGTCGGCTATGGTTGTGGTTGACTTGTTGGTTTGGATTGTTGGTATTGATGCTGGTTCGCTTGTCTGTTGTGGCTGCTGGTTCTCTTGTTAGTAGGAACTACTTGTTTGTGTGGAACATTCACTAACCCCCCGGACAGGGCTCTCGAAATCTCCTGCATCTCTACCAGTGGTTTTATTTTTTGTGGTTTTTCCGTTGCAGTCGGCTTGGAATTATATTACTGTAAAAATAATGGAATCACCTACCACAAACAACAATAATATCAAGATCTTCTCTCCAAGTCGCTTGTGGCACGCAATGGCAGCCCAAGACAACGAATATCGATGCAAGAGGGCAACGTTACCTTTTTAGACGGTAATGATTGGTCCCACGAGATTTATGCATGACCACGGAGAGTAAATCGCTGGATCCTTTCTTCCCTTTTTTTTAATTTTGTCTTCACTTTAAATCAGCGCTCACGGCACTAGTACCGTTTTCTCCAACCCGTGATCACACAGAAGAGACCCTCTCTACCCTCCCCTCCTGCGGTACTTTGCTTCGATTTTTAATGCGAGAAAGGTTCAGCACTCTCTTCCCTCTGTGTACACACAAACTAGCGCTATCCACTAGGCTATAGGCCAGGAGCGGAAGCGAGAGAAAAACTCACTTTGCAAGAAAAGTTCGCTTACGCCGGGATTCGAACCCCTGACCTGACCTCTAGAAGGCTTCGAGGTTACCAACTAGACCACCGCGTTCGTGTGTTTGGATACGGACTAGTTAGATCTACCGGCAACAACAGAGGGCACGCAGATGGGGCATATGTACACCTTGAAATGGTTGCATGTGCGCGAACCCCTCGAAAGAGGGCGTCACTTGTCCCTACTCCCCTTGCGTGTCTAATAGAAGAGATAAAACATCTTCCCCTTCCAAGTAAAGGACATATACGAACACACTCGTGTCAGTCCCTTGAGGGAGAGTCCATTAGGAATGTCAGGTCGCAAAGATGGGGNCCAACTAGACCACCGCGTTCGTGTGTTTGGATACGGACTAGTTAGATCTACCGGCAACAACAGAGGGCACGCAGATGGGGCATATGTACACCTTGAAATGGTTGCATGTGCGCGAACCCCTCGAAAGAGGGCGTCACTTGTCCCTACTCCCCTTGCGTGTCTAATAGAAGAGATAAAACATCTTCCCCTTCCAAGTAAAGGACATATACGAACACACTCGTGTCAGTCCCTTGAGGGAGAGTCCATTAGGAATGTCAGGTCGCAAAGATGGGGATGACTCTTCCAGCGACTCTGCGGCGGAAGACAGAAAGAGGTCAAGAGAAGAACTCGTGACCCTGAGGACGCAAGTTAGCTCGCTGACGGATCAGATGAGCCAGCTAATGTCGCTAGTGGAAGATGCCATGAAGGCAAGCAAGAAGGAGGAGCCAGCTGGCACCATGGAGGGTGCCGCTGATTGCGGCGATGCTAGGGAGAGCGCCGCCGCGGAGTCCACGAACGCCGAAGGAGGGGCACCGTGGACCGGGAGTGCGCAGGACGGGAGGTACCTGCGCGAACCTATTCGAGAGTCTGGCCCATCAGGGCGACACAGCGGCGAAGCAGGGGCTTTGTCCCCCAAGAGGTGAGAGTAGCCGCTGCTCACAACCAAGATAATAGTAGTGCCATGGGAGATGGTGGTGTTGGCTTTGGATACGGAGCCACAACCCCAGCGACGGGGTACCAAAGTGTGCGGTACACATCTCCTCCGTTCAGCGGGAAATCGAAAGATTTCGACGAATGGCGAAATGATTTCCGCATGGCAGCTAATGGCGCAAACCTGTTGNCTGGCCCATCAGGGCGACACAGCGGCGAAGCAGGGGCTTTGTCCCCCAAGAGGTGAGAGTAGCCGCTGCTCACAACCAAGATAATAGTAGTGCCATGGGAGATGGTGGTGTTGGCTTTGGATACGGAGCCACAACCCCAGCGACGGGGTACCAAAGTGTGCGGTACACATCTCCTCCGTTCAGCGGGAAATCGAAAGATTTCAACGAATGGCGAAATGATTTCCGCATGGCAGCTAATGGCGCAAACCTGTTGGAACAATTTGAAGAGAGCGGGAGCTTGGAGATCCCCGTCAACAGCGGAAAGAGCAAGTTTTCGCTGTCACAGCAGTACCGGAGCGAGCAAGTAGAGCTCGCATTCCACGCGTGGAACTTCCTGCCTCGCGCGTTGAAAGAAAAGGATCGGAAAATCATGAAGAGGGCAGAGACGCCCCAGGGAGCTCTTCGTGAGCTCAAGACCATACATAACCCAGAATCATCTGTACAGCCGTCAGAGGACCTGAAGTCCCTGACGTCGACCAAGATCTCAAGAGGTGAAAACCCCCAAAACGCCCTAAATGAGATGCTCCAAACCGCAAAGTCCTTAACCGAGAAAGGACTAACTGTCAACGAAACGTTCGTCCTTCACCTCTTCCTGGATGCCCTTTCGGACGAGTATNCGGTTGGGTGAAGGGGATCGGAGGCGAGAAGGCTCCCGTTCCTCTTCTAGGATACGGAGATGTGACCTAAGTCCTAGAGACAGAAAATGGTGGAGTACCCGTACCAGTACTGAATGCTGCCCATGTACCAGAGGCCCCCTACAACCTCCTCTCGCTGTCTTCGTTGGCGGAGGAGGGCCACACGTATTCGGGGATGAAGGGGGGCCTCACGCTGACCACGAAAGCCGGGGGGGAGGTGTGGTTCCCCCGGACTGGAAAGCTGCTGACCCAACGAGGCTATCAAATACAGCCAACGCTACACACCGCCTGTGCCGCACTCATTGTTCCTGGCGATGCGAAAGCAACCAACCCCACTGACCTCAACGAGTACCACCTGGCGCACGGCCATGCCCACGAGGCATAGCTCAGGATCACGGCGGAGCAGCAGGGTGTGCAACTGACGGATGGACCGCTGCTACCCTGTCTTGGCTGTTGGATGTCCAAGGGACAGGTGAAACCCGTCCAGAAGAGCACGAGCACACGCGCA